ACAGTATAATAATTGATAGTACTACTACTGCTAATGGAGAGAGTAATAAACCCCAAGAGAAACAAGGGAGGCAAAACACAGCTCAGGCTCTGCCAGGAGCTGAAAAAAACCTTCTCAACAGGCAAGTGAGAGGATGATGAGGGAGAAGATTTAGGAAGCCTGAAGGAAAAACATGTATCTATATCCATGTGCTTACCTTTAAAGATGAATTTAAGATTTAAAAGACCATGAACAGCCTGAGCAGTCACCCCCTGCCTCTTCTGAAGCTGTTTCAAGACTAAAATCACCCTGGAGATTGTTCTCCAGATTTGGAAGGAAACAGTCCCATTAACAGTTCAGTGATGCTTCAGTTGCTCCAAAGGGTATTTTCAAGAGGAAGAACTGAAATTAACTGGAACATGAAACATATATGAAGTTCACAAAATACAAAAAGACTGTTTCTAAGTCACAGTTTGCAATAAAGAATCTCAGTCTGGCTGTGATGCATCTGTGCAGCACTTGAGTGAAGGTTTCCTCTGGGAGCATTAGCCTTGGCAAACAACATGAAAAATCCCCTCTGAGAAAACCTTGCAATGGGAGCATTTTTATTTTCATTCCCTTGAAAGCAAACCTGTAGCCTTTACAAAAAATTCTAGTGAGGATCTTCTCCCTAAAAAGGATTCTCCCTTACCTGTTGCAAATTCAGTGCTACTGAAACTCAGTAGCAGAGCTCAAAAATCCCTCAAGGCCTGCAATGGCTGCATCCCCCTGCAATGCCAGCTCCAAACTGCCCCAGCTGGAGATGCCATCCAGCTCCTTGCTCAAAAAGGAACCCTGACTTGTCAGTAATTCCTATTTATTTATCCAGTATCTCTTCCTCAGCTATTCAGCAGATTACCAGGAAAAATAAAAAGGTGCCATTTCCTGCAATTCACGTTATATTTTATTTGCTTAAAATATTTTTCACAGATGCATAAAAAATGCTGGGCAGTATTTACTAGGTAGTAGTAACAACAAGACAATTATGTCTGATGGCTGGGAACATTTCAGACTAAAAAAGCCCAAACTAGTATTGACTTCAGAGAAGCTGAGCATACTCAGGGCTTGAACATGTGCAGTTTTTCTTTCTGATAGCCGAGAGTTACACAGGGAAATCTTCATAATTTGGGTCCAGCAAACAAAAGCACAAACCATTTCACCTTTAGAGTAACATAGAAAGTAAATTTGGTCTTTTTATTGACTTATTTGCTCTAAAGGTTGCAGGCTGACACCGAGGAAGAGCAATGACTTCATGGCCATGAAGCTGTCCTTCAGCAGATACATAAAATGTAATCATTGCACAATGAAAAGCCCAGATTTCCTGGTGGTGCTCAGGGCTTCAGGGCCAGGCTGTGCTGGATCCTGCAGTGCTCAGCCCCAAGCTATGCCCCTGCCAGGCTCTGCCTCCAGACCTGAACTCATCTCCTTTATGCTAGTCAAATATGTAAAAAGCATTACCATGGTTATGTAGTTCACCTCTAATGAAAAAAGAAAGGCATAAAAGTGAAAAGAAATGCAGCAAGAAATTGCAGTAATTTTGAAGTTCTCATTCCTTCTCTTATTCTCCTCTGGTTTTCCTCACACACAATGCTTGGAAGCACACAAAACCCAGATGTCCAAATCAACATTAATTGTTTTGACCATGCTAAGTGGGCCACCATCTTTGAAGCATTTTGCATCTCTGTTCCTTCATTTTCAATGAAGGAATTTGCATTTTTGGCTGTCAGAACCCCTCTCTTCTGGAGTCCTCTCATTTGCCTACCACTGCTGTGGATTTGCGACTTCTCTACCTATTTACCCTGAGGGTGCAGTACCCCAATCCATCCCTAAGGCTAACCAATAAATTGCAGAACTGCCACGTTTTCAGCTTGCAAGTTATTTTTTAGAAGTCCTCAAAGACTGCTTTTATTCTTTTTTTTAAAGTAATTAAGAGTAGTAGAAAGCTGTCACTGGTGTGCAGTATGCTCCCCTTCCTTGTAGTTTGAAAACTGTGTGGGCTTGTGAGGATCTGGTGGAAGTTTGCCACTACAGCTTCACAAAAGCTCTCCTGACTCCAGAGTACCTGAGAAGAGCATTTAAATCTCTGAAAGATTTTATTTCCCCCCATGGAACAGAACAACCCAAGCAAATCTTAAGGCCTCACTCAGTAACGCAGCCTCCAAAAAGGTCTCAAAATGTCTCAAGCACACACTGAGCTGCCAGGTGAGGGAGATACCCCAATCTCTAGCTTTGTTGAGTATCACTTCCTCAACAAAGCAGTAACAGGCTTTAGGGTGAAAACAAACGAAAAAAGGCGACTAGCAGTGGATTTCCTTTCTGTGCTGGACTAAGGCCTCCTGATCATCAGACAAAATCTGAACCTGTGCATCCATGGCTGACTGCACTCTCCCTCTGGGGACACAGCATTCATTAGGCACTGCCCCTCCCATGTCCCTGAACTTCCAGTGACCAACAGGACTGAGCTCCTCGGCCTCCCATTGTTCCTGGGCACAGTGGTCACCACCTCCTCACTTCATTAAGTCACAGAACAGCCAATCTCAGTTTTCTGCGTGCCTCACTCCTACTTAGGTCACTTTTGGAAGGAGTAACAAATAGACTGGTTCTGTGACTGAGACATTCACCTCCATAATAAGAATGAAAGTAAGAATACGCTATAAAAAGGTTCTCACCTCTGAGAATCCAAACACTGGCTGCATTTCTGTCTTCACTCACTCTGAACACAGGTAAGGATTTTTCACTTACCCCATAAACTCCTTGATGAACCAACTCCATCAGCACTGGACTCTTTGGCCCCCTCTCAGCTTAACTTAACACTGCAGTGGGAACCTGTGGAACCGAGAGCCAAGCAGAGTTCTTTTGTCATTAGTGGAGCAAAGATTACTGAGCTTGTTTTTGATGCTCACCTTTGAAGCTGAATAGTCTGGCACTGGCAGAAAGAAAATTTTCAGCCTAAAAGCCATGGAAAATTCTGTTTCTCAACTTCTCCAAGCACAAGGCTTCCTGGCATTGACAGACATCCCTAGATCCAGTCAGGAGGCATTTATGAATGTGTCTGCACCCCCCTTTTCCTCAGGGAGGCTTTTGGGGCTGGTTCTGCAGCATCACAGGGCTTACTGAGCTATGTGGGGTCTAACAGACTTCACAATAACAGGACTGGGGAAAAAAAAGGTCAAGTAGCAAAAAATTTACCTTCAACATAAAGGTAATTTTTTTCTTTACTTCCCAGCCCTACTGATGGGCAAGCAGCCTTCAGACTACCCAGAAAGCCACCCCTCCTGACTACATCAATTTGTGGATTCCATCAGCATCCAGAGTAGGTTTAAAAGCTGCTGGTATTTTCAAGCCTCCTGCAGCCCTGTTCATTCCAGCAGCATCCTTCCCTGCAGGCAGCCTAAACACGTCCAGAATCCCCTACACTTTCTCTTCCTGTACCCACTTCCTCACTACTTTTTTCTTTTCCTCTGCCTGTGTCAGCAGGACAATTCCCAGAGACTCTGCAAGGAAAAGCAGTTCAGCACACTTAGAGCACATTAGCAAAGACAACTTTATTGCTGAGTTGATGTTGTTCAGGGAATAGCTGGGGACTTAAGTGGTTCCAGCTGGTTGGTGATAAAAAGTTACATTACAGATGGTAAACATCAGATGATGATGGGAGATCCCTTCCAACTCTACTGTGCTTGAGCAGCTGAGGGAGAGACCTGCAGTCACAAAGAGAAGTGAAAATGTCACGCAGGTGACAGCTCTAAAACAGGCTGAGAAGGGAGGAAAAGGTGGTGCCCACCACTGAGTAACAATAATGGCAAAATTATGCACCTCAGAGAAGATGTCAGCTTGCAGCTGCCACAGCCAGAGCAGCAGCACAGCCCAGCTGCAGCAGCTGCTCCACATCTTCTGCATGGAACAGTTTATCAGTAGGATATGAGAATAATACTCACTAAGATCCAGAACACCGAGCTCTACAACTTAAAATGTTAGAAAACAGAGTTATATAATGACACAGTTCAACTGGGATCCAGTTATAAAAGGGAGGCAATTTCCAAAGCTCTTTGACTTTCAGCATCATTGTGATAACCAGCTACCCAAGGAAGGCCCTGTGCAATGAAAATGCTGTAAGGTTTGCCTGAGCTTTTCCAACATCCAGAACCACCCCTCCTCTGCCATATCTCAGAAAATTACATCAGTTTCTATTGCATATGTTTTTAATTAAGATTATAAACCTAGACCAACTTGAATATATCTCCTGATATATCAATTTCAACATTCTCAGATGACCATTTCCACTGTGTTAAAATAAATATTAACTCCTGGTAGGCCCTCAAAGAAGCTGACTTAAAAACATGCTCTTCTGAATGTGCAAATACCTGCTGTGACAGTACTGATTTAATATACTACTCCTCTCTCCCTTAAGACTTTCAGGTAGCATGTAAAAGAAGCCTCATTTCCCAAAACCATCCTGTAAGACAAACAATGTAAGTGATCTTTAGCCAATTCTTCAAAAACTTTGAAGTGGCCCCAGTTCCTCCAAAATCACCGACTTCTCCCTTTTTACCTTCTCTCCATCACCTCCTGCCCAACAACAGCCCACAGAATCAAGAAAATTTTACAGCTTCAAAAGGAATTGTTAATCTTTGGTAAAAAGCCAGTATGGGGCAAATTTTTCTTGCTTCCCATCTTGTGCACCTACTGAAAACTGAGGGAATCTTCTTGATTTTGCATTTTCTTTGATGACTAGATGTAAAAGACACTGGCAAGTAATATTCAGCACTGGAATGGAGCCTAATTAAAGATTTTTAAGAGCCCATGACAATCCCCACTTTGATCAACCACAGACCATCTCCCTACCTTTTAATACACACACCTTTAAAAAGTAGCTACCTTTCATCTTTTGACATTGATGGACTGAGTTGGTGACACTTTTAGGAAATTTAAATCAGAAATGCCCACATTTGGTGCCTAAGCACTGCCCCAAGAACAGCAGACCATTTCAGAATCTAGTGATAATTTTATTTAAAAAACTCCAAACCTTTATAACTTATTAAGGTTGGTGCCAAACTTAGCACTGGAACCAAGGTTTGCCAAACAACAGCAGCAGCAAAGTACAGCTTCAGGATGTCAAGTCAAGGACATTTGAACAGCTCTGCTCAGTATTCTGCTGTAAGATAAATTGAGGAAACTGTCCTTAGTGCACAGAAACCTCTAATGATCTGCTGTGGTAGGTTTGCTTTATTACCAGTATTGAAAATAAGTCATGAACATAAAAGCAGCAAGAGAAGAAGTCAGACTGACTGCAATTACTTCCCACCCAGTCTTTCCTTCTCCCTCCATGGATACAGAGACCAAAGTGTGTATATACCATGTGAGAATGTAAATCACATCATACATTTGAAATTAATTTTAATTTATGTACAGCAGTCACTGTTCATGAATGTACACAGACCCTGCAGTTACATTCTTTATAAGGTTAAGTCTTCACTGTTCTCTACTGGATCTTCTGATGCAGAAACAGAAAGGAGAAGTGGAATCAAGGAGTAAGTCATTAAAAATCTGGGGACTTTGAGTAGTAAATCTCAGAGAGTCTTCTATGAGGTTCCAGAAATAAATGGTGGCAACGTGTATATATTGCAATTTTATTTCATTCGCTCAAACAAAACGTTAGCATGTAAGAAATTTAAAATGACACAATATGATAAAAATAGCAGAGAATGAATTGAGAAACTAAAAAGAAGGTAAACCTAAATGCATGAAAAGTCAACATTCATTAGTGAACAGCTTCAGTCTTTGATTGACACTTGGTAACTTTAAAACAACGAACTGGAAATCATTATGACTGTCTGAAGAGATTTCAGCACCAGCACTAAGGGTTTTACATTCAGTTGGTTTGCGGTTGACTCGGTAGCCACTTGTCTGTAGTGCAGGTTTATCACAGGTCAGATCACAGTGTTGAGGAAAGCAACGCCCTCCTGGCATTAGGAAGGATCCCTTAAACTGCCCTCAGCTTAAGACATCCATTGTACAAAAGCACAGAACCACCACAATATGGTTTTTAAAGAACTTAGTCACCAGTAAGCAAAATAATCGTAACTTCTGCAGTTCATTTTCAATACTGAAATCTCTGGAAATGGTGCAACTGTCAGTAAGTCAGGAAATGTCTACAGTAATCTTTAATTCAATCTGATTTCCTGGAAAGAACCAGTTCTGCAGGTTGGGATTACAGAAAGTATGTATGTAGAAGCAGCACAAAAAGACAACATCTGTTCCTTTTTCTTTTAAACAGAAATCATGTTAATTGTAGACCAAGGCACAAAACGTTTAGTGCATAAGCCAGTTCCTTGCACAATCTAGAAGTTCAGCCTTTAATTTTGAACCACTTATAGCCATCCATGCTATTCCACTAGGTAACTCCTGAACCCTCCTAGAAACGAATCAAACGTGATTTCTGACAAGGGTAAACATCCTTACTGCTCAAAAAGTCTGTGTAAAACAAAAAGCTACATCAACAAAGATGAAAATGCCTCCTCTTGTTTTGAGAAAAACAGTACTTGACAAGCTTACTATGGATTTTTTCTTTTTAATGCCTTCAATAAATGCATGCAGAAAGGTGATATTGTTTCTCCTCTTTATTAAAAAAAATTAATAAATGGAGTTAGGCAGTATTTCCACTGTTGTCTTCCCTTAGAATCTGAACCTGTAAGATCAGACAACATTTAAATGGGAAAAAGATTTCCTATTGAAGCCTTTCTGAAGCTGTTAAGTGCTGTTTTGCTTTGGTGTTCAGTCTGCTATTGAAAGCATCTGTGCCACAAATGGAGCTGCCTGTACTTGTAAGCAAATCTCTCCACAAGTTGTAGGTAAACTTTTCCTCTGGATTGGCACAGATCCCAAAGCAAACATGGCTTCGAAAAATGGACAGTGCAAGGGAAAAGGGAAGATTTTGATCCATATTCTTTGTCCAAAGCACTACAAAGCCAATTTGCAGAATTTTTATTCCACTGAACTTTACCATATTAAAACACAAACTTAAAAAAACTTACACTCATAAGATTGAAAACCCTGGGAAAGAGAGGTATCACCTCCCCTAAAAATGTTGCTGAAATTGTTGAGCAAAACCAATAGCACATCATTGCTATTTTTCAGTGTTTGTCTCATGTGGAGCTGTGGGAGTTTTTTATTGGTTTTGAGTTCTTTTGGAAAGGAGGGTGGTAGATAAATTAGGAGGAGAAGGGGCCATTTACTGTGACCTGATCGTTCTCAGGTAACTACTGCTGTTCTGTTTCATTAAACAACCAAAAAAAAAAGGGAGTCTCAGAAAAGAGTGAAGCAGAGGGTCATGGTGAAAAGGTGAAGGACAAGACACACAGGGGCATCCTCAGTAAGTCAGATGCCTACAACATTTTTTCTCTCACCGAGAAATGAGTTTGGTTCACCTGGGAGTTTCAGAACCATCACTGGAAGTTATTACTGAATTTCAAATAGAAAACTGAAAAAAGATACAAAAGGATCAAGTACCTGGTTCCATTAACATGGTTACTGATAAAAGTCATGTTTTCCTCATTATTACACATGCATGTAAGATGAAGAAAAAGTGTAGAAAGTAATAAAAATGTGTCACCTTCCCCCTCCCTCTTCCCACATCTTCCTGGGCATAAATTAAGCCTTACAAATGAAAAGGCTACTCTGTGACATGCAATTTTTCTTTTAATTAAAAAGCTGGCTGTGTTGTGTTACATTACAAAATGTCCACATGCATAAATCTAAAAAAAGCCCCAAAATCTACTGTAAATCTACAACATACTAATGATTTACATTTGACTGCTGATTCGCTTTATGTCGAAGTCTTAGATTTGGTAAAGCATCGTAACAATGTAGGAAGGCATCTACATCTTTAAACTCTGGACTGTGTTTGCTTTTTTTTTTTTTTTAATTTTCCTAGAAAATTGCATGAAGGCTAACTAGAGAGGCTTCCTATCATAAAATTCCAAAATCTTGATATGTCATCACCGTCTAGGTCACCCTTACTTACAAATATTGCCCTTTAAAAGCACACATCTCTAATAGTTCCTTGTCTCGTGAACCGAACTTCTACACATCTGATCTCTTAAATTACTCATGGAAATATCAGATATGATAGGAAGACAAACCTGAGATACATTTGAAGTACAACAGTATAACTTGCTAACTCCTTCATTAATAAAGAAAACCTCTCTGAAAAGCCTTCCCAAGCTTTTCCCTGTTTTTTGTTTTGTTTTTTTTTTTTGTCTTAACAACAAATTCTGAAACATGTGCAATTTTATCTTGACATGAGTAGACTTCAAAGCACTGTGATCTTGTCTGATAGATGTAGGAATTTCTGCATAATCATTACAGTAACTTTAAGAGTCTTTTCCACCCTGCTGTAAAGGTCAGAAAAAAGCTGCAAACTAGGAGGGGAATAGCATTATCACCAGAGTGATGTGTCTGAAGCTTTTCAGAATAGGTTGTTTCTCCCTCCTTCCAAGTGTCTGTCTGTCTCCGTTTTCTTCTAACAGCTCACAAAACGTAGTCAGTTTTATATCAAGTTAAAGAGTCACATCGGCTTAGTACGAGTCTTTCTATGCAGTATTGGACTTGCTGAGTTCCTGCCTGATAGCTGCAGAGAGACAGAGACACAGTTAGCAAATCAAATAAAGTAATCTTTACTAGGCAGGAAGCTGGAACATACAGCTGACCCCCCAGAGCAGGCTCACCCTGCTCTCACAACATGAAGAACCAACCCCTAAAGCAGCCCCATGTGGCTTCAGACAAGTGACATTATCAACCAGGCACTACATTTTTTCTTCCCGTAAAATTTATGTTCAAAACTTAATTTTTAGTTCCCACCTCCAGCAAGGCTGTAGGAATCACCACCATTGGAATTTCCAAGGAGTGTAAGTATGGGCTCATTTATTTTATTTTTTTTTATTTAACAGCAGCCTCAGGGCCCTGTTTGCACTCTACAGGTCTAAAAGGCTGTGGTACAGCACAGCACAGATAAAATATAGGGAAAAGCACTACATTCCCCTTAGTCCCAAACCAGCCAGTTCTTTCTACAACATCAGTTGATGACATGCAATATTTTATCAGCAGTGGTATTAGATTAATATGATTTTTTTCCTCCCCACACTTAGTTTTGGTACATTCCACAAAGCCAAAAAGAATAAAAGGCCCACCAAGGTAGTAAATCATACACAGAGTTTTGCTTAATTCCTGGCAAAGGCAAACCTTCAGGATTATATTTTCTCAATGATTTCCCTTAAGTACAGAATATTACATAGGAAAATAGCTTCTGTTGAAATGAAAATGGAAACTGTGAGACTTCTTTTCTTTGACACTTATGTTACAGATCAAAGACGTAATTGAAAGCTGGAAGCACAATTCTCTTCTGAATATTACTAGTTTTGAATTACATACCTCAGCAGCTGTGCATTATTTAAAAATAACCCACCTACCACCACATGATACTAAGGATAACTTCAAATCACTCAAATACAGCATCACTTAAACCACTCTTAAAAGACACATTGGTGTCAATGTTCTACTAAAACAAAACCCTCAGGAAAGAAATCCTTGAAGCACATCAATTGGAACAGGTCTGGCACCAGTGGTTTGCCACTAGACAAAGAACAAAGCTACTTTTACCAATAAATAACTCTCAGGCTACCAATACATTGTATTTACATTTTAAAGCACCTGCAGCTACTCTAAACCTAAGCAGCAGCAGTGAACAAAGCAACACTTACCATCAATGAGTTCTTCCTTTAATTTCGTTAACTCCTTCCTCATTTCATCTAAAATGTCCTAAAATGTGTCAGAGCATAAATAACAGATTAGCAGATTTGTTTTGCCACCTGTAAATTTCTGTGGAGAGAAATCCAGAATTCTCTCTACAATCCTTCCTGTTTTTCCTTAACCCTTCTGAGAAGCATAACCCACCCTTCAGCTTCCAAGTTAATCCTCAAAACCCAAGGCATCCCTAGAACATTACTAGTGCAGTTATAATGCAGAAAAAACAGTCCCTGCAATTGCCACAAACCGATTCCTGTAGAATTTATGCGGAGAAGGGATAGAATGAGAAAGCTTTGCTACAAGTGAAATGTGATGTGGAATGCAAAGAAAGGAGCTCACTAAACACCACAAGCCAAGGAAGTATTCTACGGGGAAAAAACTGAAATGTAATCAAGGTATCAAGGTCCCAGTCCCAGTGGAATGTGATGGAATGAAGATAACAGAGTGAAGTGCTGTCCCTGCTTGCTGTTTTTTCCATCCTTTCCTCCAAGCTCCTTCAGAACCACTCACCAGGCCAGAAGCCACTCTAGAACTACATGGGGACATGGTCTAGAAGCAACTAAAAGTTGCTACCCAAGTAAAAGCGGCTCTAGAATTACCCACAGAGCTGCAGCCTGCACCAGAATCTCCCTCCCCACTTAGGGTGGAACCACTGATCCAAACATCACTTGCAGATGCTTCACCTCCAACTCCACAACTGCCACAGGATTCCTCTGCTCTTGAACTGGAGAGCTGCACAAAAGACAGAATCCCTGGATGCTCTTCCCCACCTAACTTGTGACCACAGGTGCTCACATCTGATATTAAAATTCGTTCTGCTAGAGCTGCCCCAAGTTGCTTGTTTGGCTACAGAGAAAAGAATGAAAGGTTTTCCAGGCAAATTGATTTCCCAGTTCCATCTACAGTGTCAACACCATCCTGTGTGTGCTGCCTAATGCAATAGCAGGAACTTTGTGAGAAATGAATGGGGCTGTCTAAGCCTCCATCCTACAGCTCCAACTCCTAAGAATACTGACAAATGCCTGGGCAAAAATAAAGGCTAGCAATTACTAAATCATTAACTTTCCAACTGGCTAACAAAACAGTTAAAAATTGGTATTGGACAGCTGCAAGTCCTTATATCCAACTTCCATAGCAATCTTTTTTTAAAGCATTATCCACATACCTGCTTCAATCTGTCATAATCTAGACCTTCTGACTGTACTCCGTTGGCACTGGGCTGTCCCGTTGGTGTAGATTTTGGTCTGCAGCACAAAAACACATTGATGAATTACTGGTTGCTCCTTATTGCAGGATTCATACAACTCCCCCGTCAAAATTGCTGACATTTGTTCAACAAAAACATAGTAAAAAATCAGAACAAAAACCAAAAAATGTTGGGAGTGGGAGGATGGGAAAAATCAAGCAGACCCAAAATACCACACAGAATAGAAAGCAACACCCAAGAATGTTTTACACACACTGGAAATATTAATTACCATAAGAGTTATTAGTTCAAAACAAGAACTTTCAAAGCAGCAGACAGATTTCACTGTCAGTGGTTTCTGATTTTCTTCATAATGGGCATAAAAGGCTGAATGCCTTCAAATGTCAAGTACTTTCCTTTTGAAACTGCTTGCTCATTCAAAAGTAGGTCTCCCAAGGAAGCACTCCCACTAACTAATGACTGCATGCTGACTGTATGAATGCTGAGCAATCACCCTGGGGGATTTTCAAAGGTTGACAGATCCAAGCAATACTATCCAACTCCTCTGCAACCTCAATTATCCCATAAGTTGCTTTTTAAAGCTACTGAGAGCAAACACTGTAACAGCAGCAAGATTTTTCAGGTGATACTTGAGAGGAAGTTCTAATGTTTTGGACTATGTCATGTTTGATATTTGCTTATGAAATACTCTCTTAGACATCAAAAACTTGCTTACCCAGATCACCCTGCATTTTTTAACAAGGATTCCAAAAGAAGGGGGTTTCCTGCCTTCCCACTTCTCTTTCCTGATCCCCTCTTTCATTCAAGGGGTAATTCAGACTCATGGACTTACTAGAGCTGTGAGCAGAGATAAAACCTGGATGTCCACAGCAGCAATACCAAAAGAGTTCTCCCAAGAGGGAGGAATGTTCTGCTGTTCTTAAATACATTTTACATCTTGGCTAGCATTCTCCATCCCTTACCTGTAAAACTTCAAGCCAGTAAGAAGCTGTTGATAAAATTCCTGACAATTCATCTCAGGGGGTTTCCCTGATGTTTAGAATTATCATAATCTGCTAATTTTAAGGAAGAGCAGAGTATAAAGCAGGTTAAGCTGGGTCCTATTTCATTGGCCTTGTATGTGGCATCTCTGAACAAAATAGCCTGGCCTATACTCAGTGTGTCCCTTCAAAATTCCTACACAGGAGAACTTAATTTAGCACTGCATTTTTCTGTATTTGTTACATGAGAGTGCAGACTGATTTACTGCAACAAAGGTAGACAGGAATGAAAAAAATACTTCATTTCTTCATTTGTTTTAGACAATTACTACCTTGAGCTTTCGTGCATCTTCCCTTACAAGACAGGAGTTTATCCATAAGGAAATTATCCTATTCTACTGGTTTTGTTCAGTAAGAGCTGAATGAACCTCACACTAAATTGTCTTGCTGTCTTTTACAACCTGACAGGACTATGTTCTGACTTGCTAACTGAAGAACAAAGTGTGACTCCAACAGAAAAGGGTACACACATCAAAATGCTGGTTTGATACGTCTTCCCTTGGGATCACAAACCTAAATTGTCACAGCTGTAAAGGCTTAAGTCCACACAGTTTAAATGTAAGTTCCCAGAGAGAAACTGCTAATTACTCTTCTTGAAACACACCAAAATTAAATACACAATCCACCGAGTAAGACAGAAAATGAAATATTGAATAATGTGATAGTGAAAGAAGCTGGAAAATAGAATTCACCTTGCAACCACCAGAGAACCTACTGTGTGCACTAATGCTATGAAGGCAAACCACAGTTTAGGATCTTTTCCAGAACTCTTTACATGTTACAGTGCTTAGTTCAGTATGGAAGAATTCCTTGCTCAAAAACATCCATCAGCTGAGACCTTTGGCTATCACTGTTTCATCTGATACGTGGTATTTAAAGAGTTACTTGCAGTTTACACCTGAAATTGTGAGCCCTGACCTACTCCAGGCAGAACAGCTGAGTTTTTCAGATAGTTCATATATAGTTTCTGATCATTTCCATTGACTATGGTTCTGTTCCCATACACTATGGCATGACAGCATTTATCCAACAGGACTGAAAAAATCCTCTTAAATGCAGCTCCTGGCAATTGCTAACAGGCACCTAGTGCCTGCCTTAATGGAAGAACCCAACCAATACACTTTTAAAACTACTTATGAGTTTAATGTATTAATAAGAAGACTTCAAAGAAAACCTCTACACAAATTGTTTCTTTTTTGTCATATCTTTAGAACAAAAAGTCAGTTTTACCCACCATAACTATCTACTGCTTCTATCTGTTAAAAATCTCCACAGGAAAGCTTCTTTATCAACGCTGCCCCTTAATCTTGACAAGGTACTGCATTTTTGCTTTCCCAAATGCAAGATATTCTTAATTCAAACACTGAAATACCATAATTAGCAAAACAGGTAATTTCTAATCTCAGGAAAATCTAGCTGTGTTCCTTCCCAAAGTATGTTGTGGTTTGTTTTTTTTTTCCCCAATTTCAGCCTGAATGCAGTTGTCATTTAGGAAAACATTAACTAATGAAATTTAGTGAATAAAAACGTCCCAGCCATTCAATCCCAACGTGGCTGAAGAGCTCTCCCGTGTGGTTCTTCATAGCATTGCCTACCAGGACAGCGAGGCAAGCCTGACAGTCCCTAACACACCTTCGACCAAACATGCAAAGGAAAGATCTTATTCATGCCAACATGCACAATACACCACCCAAGATAAGTAGCTAAAAGGGGAACTTTTAATACAAAAAGATTAAGTAATCACCACAATGACTGCCTTCATGAAAAGCAAAGGTGCAATTTGACTCAGTAATTCTGAGGGGCTCTGGAAGACATTTACCTCTGGAAAGCTCTCAAAGCCTAAAGAGTTTCAATGTCAGTACTTTATGACCACTAGAAAGTGAAACTTAAATCTCTGGCAAAAAATACATATCATGTTACCTAATTTGTGACTATGTTCCAAGTAGAAACATGAATTTATGCTTAAAAAGTCTTTAATCAAAAAGCAGACGTGAAAACACACCCACAAAATGAATTCCCATTCCTCTGTATCTAAACTTAAGAGTTTGACAGCCTGCTTCTTAGAACAGTGCAAATGGTCCACTAAATCCTGGAATATTCAACAGGAATTTGTACCTTTGCAGGTGGAGACTGCCAGAAAACCAGCATTTTATATTAATTCATACCTAGTTCTTAAGCCATCTCAATTTGCCTTTGACACCATCTGCTTTTAATCAGTGCAAAAGTGGGCTCAACTGGACAAATAAAATGTGGAGGAGGAACCTGGAGATGCTTGTGGTGATTACCAACCCGTGTAGAAAAAGTCCAACCCTGAACTGGTCAAAGGGGTTATTACGAAGTCTCAAATCCCAACAGGATGATACCTGTTTAGTGAATCATAGAACCTGTTTTCAGAAGCAAGCAGATTTTTCCATGGAGATTCCCGTCTATTAGGGGGAGAAACACTACCTTTAAAAGCTGTAATAGCTCTTAATTTTGTTCCGTTTTAGCACCTTAAACACCATGGGGTTTCAGTAGATTCAGAAGTTTTACTTGCATGAAAAGGCCTGATTTTAGATAGGACACTAACTTGCTTTAAAATACTTGTAACATTCACTCTGAATAAAAACAACTTCATCCTCTACCTCTGTGGAAGCTCTGAAGAGAAAATTTTGCTGACTTGCCATTTTCTTAAGCGTGCTTTGCTTAATCCCTGTAAGTGACTCACATCCTCCCTGCAGAGGTCAGGAGCAGCTCTCCAGCCCTACCAGGTGAAAGAAATCCCCTTCTGGCAGACACAGGGTTAGTGTTTCAAACTGCAGCTCCCCTTGGCTAAACAAAGCTAGTTTAGCAAGCTGCTTGCTGAGAGAGACTTGGCAAGTTGGGAAATGTAGACACTTAAGAAAAATACAAGGATATTCAAGAGAGACTTCTTCTAACAGCTTTGCTTGCTAGAAAATTTTCCTCTTCCTAGCAGAGGAAGCCGTCAACACTGACTAGAAAACTGTATCAGCAGGCCTAAAGTATGTGCTATGGCACCTTCCAGCAGGTTATGACAGCACTGGAAAAGAATATTGACGTTAAATAAACACAGATTTCTTATTTTGGAAGTACTTTTAGAGTATATACCCAGGGAAGCTCACATCAAGTTAAATTCTATCTGCATTTTCCATTGGATGAATGAAGACAAAAGCTTGATGGAGAGAGTGCCCCAATAAATCTAAGAGAAAACTCAAAAATCTTCTGTACTCCTCTAGGTCAGAAAATATTTTTAAACAGACCTCAGCAATCTCTGAATTCCACCAGCTGGAAAAAGGTCAGAGAAACTGGAAGCATGAAACAGTTTGCGAAAACCTACTGCTGTTGGGGCAGGTAGAATCAAAACTTCAGAACATTCCCGACTCCCCAAAAGTCACATATTGAGAGTTGCCCTACTTATTAATCCCTTTACCCTATGGATAAGCAATTTGAGCAAAGTATCTACAGCCAAAGGGCTGGGTCAGCAACTGTCTTCCACAATATGAACTCTGAAATGCTCTTTAGGATTCCTTACACCAATTATTTCTGTGACAAGTTCCCCCTCAACACCACGTTTTGAAGCAGATGAAGGTATCAACACCAGAGAACCTGGTCAAAGCAGGGCAGACCTGCTGGGGAGGAGGGGGAAGAGGGCAGGGCAAAGCCAACGCCAAAGGTGATGCAGTATTTTGTTACACTGACAGTGTAGCAGAGAGAATGTCACCACCAATGGCACCTGCTTCCTCACAAAAAAAAAAACAAACAAGTAAGCAACCAGAACCAAGACTGCAGACACCTCAAACTCCTGGATTTATTCTAAAAGAGACAAAGATACTGAGAGTGTTTAGTGTTGCATTTTAGAACTGAAGACCTCAAGGGCAACTCCAACTACCAATGAGGCCTCTCAGAGAACAATTGTTTTTAATACTCTGATCATCCAATCTTCTACAGCTATTCCAACAGCCAAATTTAAATGGGAATACAGGAAATTTCAAACATAGCATTCCCAAGTTGAACATATTCTTTTGTTTTCTCTCAAGAAATTCAGGTGACTTCCTCAGATTATCAGGGGTCAGAACCCTTTAACCTCTGTGTACACAATACACAGGAATTCTAAATGAACCACAAGCCTCTTGCTTAAAGTAAATGACAATTAAATATAGCTCCAAAAAATTGCTAAAGCAGCCATTTCACTTACTGAAAATGCCTACCAAAATTCCAGCTGACAAGTTACCAAAGACTGGTTGATGCACTGAACGGTGTAAAACATTTCTACACTTCTTTAAGATGGACATTCTTAGATTGGTATGAGAGCTACTGAAAATTGTCATAGAATCAAATCTTACCAAGATGGCTTAAATATCCACAAAAGCATTCTGTGAGCAGCAGAGAAATAGAAAGAACACCTCTTCTCTAAATTTACTACTGAATATGTGAACTGCAGCACTGAATTTGGTTTCACCTTATAGGAAATTTCACACTTCAAATAAAGAACTAAACATTTCTGTAGGCAATTGTACACCTTACTAATTCAGGTTATACACCAGCAATTGTTAAAATAAACTTTTTTGGGTACAACTTTTGTTTTTACTGTCAAAAATTTCTCTTATTAGCATTCTCCAAAAGTAACTCTTAATTCCTTCTTAAAACTGCTAAAAGCAGTTTCACAGCAGCAGTTTTAAACCCATAAAGATGACCTTTACTCTTCTAGTCCAGTATCTTCAGCAGCATGTGCAACAAGAACAAATGTAAGGAAATGACAGCTGGTACAAAAGGGGAGTACCTGGAAATAACAGGTGACTTGCTTCCATTCACTGTATTTGTCCTTTCCCAAGGCTTTCTTGTTAGTTCTGGAAAACAGAGTGAGGAGATTAAAAACTGTCTTTTTCTATGCACTGTGTAATTTGTATGAGGAAACTTCAAACAGCTGGCAACTCAAGTCAGCTGCTTGGTGTTTTGCTCTTTTTACTCCATTGCTTTAGGTCTTTCACATTAAGCTACCTCTTGTATTCATCTGTGAATGCATCAAGTGAGAGCACCTTCAAGTCTCACTGGTCTCCCAGACACTGTAAATGCCATTTGATTCTTAATCTGGCTGGGAGAAGGCCTGACTATACTTTATAGACATTGGATTTATTTGTAAGTATTTATAGGTACTGGATTGCTGCAGCTGTGAAACATGGAATTCTGTAACCAGTCAGCTGCAAACACTTGAGGAATAGGCTTCTAAGCTAAAGGTGTTTTCCTAAACTCTTAATGATAGAAAATTAATTCAGTGCCAGTGTCAGTGACATGCCAGCAGATACAACCTGACACAACCAGAATATCTTCCAGCAATGAGAAAAAAGAAGGTTCATTCCTTACAATCTGCACAAGTTAGTACAGACTTTCTATAGTGTGGATTGTTATTACTTGCTATCATTACTTACTCAGGACTTCAGTGTGCCAGTGATCTTATCAGTCTTCACTTCAGATTTGGAGTTTGTTTGGTCTGCTCCCTTTCTTTTGTATTATTTATTCATATTATTTAGCTCTGCTAAACTAGGTAAGCAGAGAGGCAGAAAGACCCTTTCAGAGTCTCTTATTGACCAGAAAATTCCCTGGAATGCAGCTGAATACTGAGAATACCTAAATTGCAGAAGGTTGCCAGCATAGTCTGTAACCCAGCCAAGTACAGGCTACTTATGCTAGTAATGAGCTTTAAACTTAATTTTATACACCAGTCTTCAGGATTTGTCCTGCCATAGGAGCTATTTTAGCAGGATTTTAGCCGTATCTGCAAAACTGAGAAACTTCTGCTATGGCTGCAGTTTGCTCAAGGATGCTATGCATTCCTCTTAAAACACTTTAAAGACCTGTTCCAGTGATGAGGCTCAGCATTACCAGAGCATCTCACAGTAAGAAACAAAGAAAATTTCTCAACTGGAAGGGAATGGTCAAATTCTGAATGCATTTGACATTTTTAACAGATTAGATGAGGCTTCTTATCATCACCAATTAAAGGAACCACTTCCACTGGTTTTCATTTCCTTCTTTTTGGGCCTGTATTATCAGAAGTGTTCCAAAAGCAGTCATTTTCCCAAGGCTAATGTCCTTTCTGTTTAACAGAACGAAGCAGACTCTCTCTTAAAGGAAGAGGAAAAAAAAGGGGGTGGGGGTGGGGGGGGGGTGTGTGAAAACCTCGATTTGTGTGATGTCATTTACTTCCTTGCAGTCTGACTTCTCCAGATGAGTGCCTGTATCTCAATACTAAGTTTGCCAGTTATTTCCATCTGGACACACAACTCCTAGCACTCTTTTTTATTCCCCAGCCAGGTGTCACCTGGGTTTTGTTCACAATACAGCAGTGGTTTTCAATATTAAGGCCTGCACATCATCAAGTGGTTGAATCATCTAGAGGAGAAGTGTACGCATGGGCAAGCAATCAGCAGAGGAAGCTGGAACAGACTGAATGCTGGTGTATTCATGATCCAGTTACTTCCTTTCTGCTTCAACTGCCTTTTGGGAGAACAGACTGCAGGGTTATATGGCACAGCCTCCCTGTTTTGCAGGTATGTACTGAGCGGTGGCCAGGGAAACTGAGGGTGCAACAAGGTACTACTAAAGGACAGGAAAATAAACTCTTGAGTGTCTCTTGAGAGACAATAATTTACAGTGTGAATATATATGTATGCTGGCAATGCCTCTTGGTCAACTGTAGAATGTGTAAGCTTCCCTTACTCACTGCAGCAGAGGTGTTGGCTATGGAGCTCCAAAGAATGCCTCTTCAGCAGAGTGATCATGGGCAAAGAATTTCAACACTCTGCATTTATATTCTTTATTCACTTATGTTCTATTTATCCATCATCTTCTCAACCAGGAACCATTCTACAGCAAAACCCCAGGTTGAAATCATGGAAGAGGAAGGCTCCAAAATTCAGCAGAGCTGACCAAGATTTGTCACTAGATTTTAGCATTACAGAGTCCCAGAGTTCACAAACCTGAACTACTTACCAGGTGTGCTTGTTGAAGAAACCTTGGAAGATGAAGACTCTGATTCTTCCTGATTAAAAGGGAGAAGAGAGGGAATAGGGAGAGAGGAGGGAGGAAGAAAAAAAATCTTTATAATCTGTTATATTCATGAGAGTCAATCTCAACTGTTTAAATATTTCAGTTTATATACATATCTATAAAAAATGGTTCTGTTCAAGTGTATATAGAAGATGGACGAGCACTTCAGAGTAGTGGTGATATGTGTGTATATTTATACATTAATGTATAAATAATCTTTTGTACACCACTGGAATCTCTCTGATGATCCTTGTATTGAGTAATGTGAAGTAGATAAAATTTCTCAACTCACAGCTTTATCTTCTTTCTGCTCTGGTTCTGTTGATCCCTTTTCAGCAATTCTTCTCCTGTAAGCAGAGACAAAAGTTATCAAGCTCATCATGGCTTTAAGATGGAAGAATGTTGTTTACTGCAATTAAAGACTTATACAGACTCATGAAAATTAGTGTTTTAAGAAGTACTTTCAAAACACCTTCAAAGGCAAAGCCCTCCTGCCAAAGCAACTGTGCAATTTGAAGTCTGTATGCCCTCCCCTACTACTGCACAAAGGCTAACACAGAAGTACTGGATTACACTCAAATAAAAATGGCTATTCATGAAACATGATCAGCTTCCCAAAGCAACCACGAGCTGCTGTCTATCTGATCCTCAGCCAGCTGCAAGCAGGCACCCCAAATCCCACCTGTGTGATGACTAAGCAGCTGGAGCAGAGCAGGAACAGCTCCTCACCTCCTGGCCAGCAGGGCGCTCATTTCTTCCATCAACCCACTGCCTCCCAAGGGAAGGGGTCCATTTCCACGGCCACCGTCTGTTTTGGATGAAGCAGAACCTCCTCCTCCTCCACTTGAACTGGAGGAGTCTTCACCCTTCAGAGCACACAAAAAGACACCAGATGTGCCAACAGAATGAGAGCTGACTTCATAAAACCAGCGAAGTTCACATGCAAGAAAGACACAAGTGCATAAAGAACGGCATGGGCTGGCAGCACATCCTGTAATGCTTTTTTCTTAATGAATTAAGCCTACCCCAAATGTCTCGATACCGCTGTTAACCTTGAACAGAGGTTAGAAGTGGGAACAGGAATCAGAAAAAGAAACCAGGGTTATATTTACCCGTGAGACTTTCCTAAGTTTGGCTCCTGCAAGTGCAGCTGCTAGTCCAGTTAGAGGGCGATTATCTTCGGACACGAATCCCGCTGAAAATCCAGAGGCTGGGAGGGGGGGAGCAGGAGGTGGCAGGGGAACGGGAGGGACTTGGCTGGGCAGCGGAGGAGGCGGCGGCGGTGGTGGCGGCGGCCCCGAAGGTGGGAGTGGAGGAGGTGGTGGAGGGCCAGGAGGAGGTGGGGCTGCTACTGAAGACTGAGCTGGGCCAGGGGGCAGGGGAGGTGGAGGAGGAGGTGCAGGTGGTCCTTGGACAGCACCTAGGGTCAGAGAGAAAACAAACAGACGACATTAAGGATTTAGAAAACAAAGGTCTTACTTTCATTGAAATGGTGGCTCTTTTGCTCAGTGTACGAGACATTAAAGCTGGTAAGATACTGGGCAAGAAAACACTGAATTTCAGCAGGAGAGAAGCATTCTTATCCAATACACTAAGCACATTACACAGTATGCTGTGAGAGATCAGACAGCTCCAGAGACATTTACATGAAACCCCTCCAGTCAGGTTCTGTGCTGCAACCAAGAACAACTTTATACCAAGAAACAGGCAGAGAGTCAAGTCAGGCATGAGCTTCGTAGCAGGAGGAACAATGGGGTGTGCTCACATGGTGCTAAACAGTATCTCACTGCATTAACAAGCACTAACACATCACCCAAACATCTGAACCCTTAAACTATTTGAGTGCCAATGCTAATTTCTAAGCTATATGTAAATCTTTCCTTTAAAATAATTCCAGCAATCAACTTTTATGATTTAATACAAACACTAATTAGTGAGTTAGAAGACTGACGTATTTCAAGCTGATGGGAAGAAGCTGTTTTATATCTATTATTCTTTACTTCTTTAAATTCACATTGTTATCCAAATACAATGTGTACTTTGAAAAAAGAATATTCTGACGATCACTGTACTATTATTACTATAGGAAGAGTTTAAGAAATTTTGACTTAGACAACAGCTCCATACCTCCAGAGATCCTACCTCTGTCTCACCAAAACCACCATAAGGCAGGAAAAATTCTGTACAACTACCTTAATCTCTAAAGGCAGGAATTTCACATACAAGACAAGTCTTCCTGGTTTCCTACTCTGCTAACCACTGCAGAAATTCAAAAGCCTGTTAAACCCTTGGCATCACTCACTGTCCAAGTGCACACTTTTATTCCATACTAGAAGCGAGGCCATCCACTCTATTTCCACTCCATCCCAAAGCAGCTCAGACCTTCATTTCAGACAGGAGGATATAAACAGGGTCCATTCTGCATGGCTTGTACCAGGCTGCTTAACCCCCAGGAGCCCCCCTGCCCACATCTTTGGAGCTACTGCAGAGTTCTGTACGAAGACCTACATCTATTAAATCGACCCGAATCTGTTAAATCAATATAAAAACAGGATTCAGGTTAACAAAGACATGTATTACCATGTAAAATGCATTTCTATTGTATTGAGGAGTGTTCATGAAGGCTATCATCTGGCTTAATCAAACTTTTTGTCCAAAGTCTTCTTAGAAACACTGGCAAAATACTGCAGAAAGACCTGTCTCTCTGTATCTAAATACACACATATTTATGTATGTGCCCACAGCAATGCATCAAAATACAACCATTGTCCAGAAAGAAATGCTGCAGGTGTCACATATTACTTTCTAAATTTGAATTATTCCTCAGTGAAGGTCATTTACATGTCCAAAGCCACGCATATGCTCTTCTATGCTGGTTGCCACTAGGAAACTAATGATCCTGCCTGGTAACATCACTTCCCAAATAAACCAACAATGCAGGGTTCACCAAGCAAGAATCTGACCAACTCTGTTCTCAACAGGTGAGTTCTTAAGAAATTAGACTTTTCCTCATGACAGGCCACAGAACATGGGCTCCTAGGCACGGAGCTCTTCATTTCCCTTACCCCAGCCGTGTTTGGCTGCGGCATTAGGATCACTGCAGCTTGGAAGCGCTGTGTTAATGGCTGGGGGCAGTCAGGGGCTCTGACACCCGCGGGCTGCGCCCTGCTTAGCGCATTAGTAGCAATAACAGAAAGCCTTACCCTGCTGGGTCGGAGCTTCAACCGGCTGAGAGGCTGCCTGCAAGACTGGCTCAGAAGCAGAGGAGTCTCCCAGCACAGAGTTTAGAGAGTTCTCAACAGAGGCAGGGGTAGCTGCAGAGGGAGAAGGGAGAACACTAGGCTTGGATGAGGGAGTCGAGGCATTCGGGGAGTTGGGAGAAGGAGAAGCTTGAGGTCCAGAGAGTGACAGAGGCGGAAAGGAAGGCAGTGGGGGGGGAGGAGGTGGCAGAGGCGGCGTTGGACCTGAGGTAGAAGGTGAAGGAACCGGATAAGCCAGGTTTTCGGGAAGCCCGTTAGGAGCCGTGGGAGACGTGGACATTTGGGCCGCCGGGTTGGAAGCCGACACCGGGAGGACGGGTCTCGGGCCTGTGGCTTTGCCTGGCGGGCTGCTGATCATTACTGGAGGAGACGGGGGCAGGGGGGCGAAACTGGGCGCGGCCCAGGCCGCGGGCTTGGTGCTGGGAGGCAAAGTCGCCGCCGCACTGACAGGAGAAGGGGGCCGAGAACTTTTGTTCAGCGGACGAGGAACCGTAGCGTAATGGGGGAGAACGGGGTGGAAAGCTGAGCCTAAGGATGTAGCAAAACGTGATGCAGAGTGCCTTAGAGGCGGTGTAGGGGGAGTGGAAGTCGGTGGTGCAGAAGTCACTACAGCGTACTCCGGTGTGGCCTCTGCCATTGGCGCTGAGACTGCTTTTGCATATGATGGAGGAGGTGCTGAAGGAGGCTGGCAACTGGAGTATTCAGGAAGTGGAGTGCTATACGGGGAGTTGTCGAAAGATGGAGCTGGACAGAAGATGGAAAGCAGCAGCAAAGGCAGGATAAAAAAAGGAGAAAGAGAAAAAGGGAGCTAATGAAGCAACAAAACCAGCATTCAAACAAAATGTAAAAATGTAGACTACAGTTAGTACCAGAGGATTAGGCACAAGTGAAAATACTGTTAGGAAAGTTTTACATATTACCAACAGCTGCTCTTAAATTTTACCAACTCTTTTTGTGCCAACATTTGAATTTACAGGTACGTTCTAGAGAAAGTTTTCTCAAATCCCATCTGTGAGATGGGTTATAGGGTTGAGCAATCAGTCTTTTACCAGCTTTTATCTTCTTGTTTGCAAACTGCAAGCAAATGTAGCGACCTTAACATTTGTGTCAACTCCACTAATAAAACCCCTACCATAGGCAGCAAGTGTAATCTCTCTATTCCCCAGAAAAAGCTCCATAGCAAATATTGAAAGTACTGGGAATAAAACTACCACTAAAATCCTCTGCTCTAAAATGACTTACATAGTATTCCTTGACTTTCACCATGAGCTGACTTATGTAAATTGAGTTCGAGACTGAAAAACAACCAAGCACTTGACTAATGTTCCATTATATTACCAAAATGAGAAAGCTTTCAGTTATCACTGGATACATTTCCACAGGCAGTGCATTATCTTATCTACAAATACATACAACACATTTCACTGAGATGTTACTACAATGATAGATTAGGCAAGACTTCAGACTGAAAAGCATTTCTCACACTATTACTTTGCCTTATATAGGAACATACCTTCTATGTTAACACACTCAACCTTTTACCTTTTAGGGTTTTTTTCCCAACTTATGTAATGACAATACATTTGTTGAATAGAGCAAACAATGATAAGGTATTTAGAAAGTTTAATTCATCACACTTTAACCAATGTTGGAGGTGCCCAAAATGATTCAAGTTCTCCCACACAATCAGAGAGTATGGACAATGGAGTGAGCAAACAATGCAAAAAAAATTATTTCAGAATTAATGGAAAATTATGACAGAAAAGTCAAATATCTTTGACTTCTTGCCATAAAAAAAAGGGAAGGAATTCCAGCAAAACGAAGCCTGAAATACTGACTGTTGCTACACAGCTGTACTCACTGCCATTTGCTGGTTCTCCCACACTCCATCACCCAAACACATAAAGAGCAGTCTGGTGGTAGAACACACTTGGGTTTTGAAATTCTTACCAGCATTTGAAATTCTTCTCTCTCTTTCCCATTCCAACTGTTCCCTTTCCAACTGTTCTTGCCGTTCTCTTTCTTGCCTCTCCCGTTCAAGTCGTTCCAGTCTCTCCCGGTCCTGCCTCTCCTTCTCTTGTCTCTCCCTTTCCAGGCGCTCTTGCCGTTCCCTTTCTTGCCGTTCTCTCTCCAGCTGCTCCTGCTCTAGGCGCTCTCTTTCCAGTCTTTCCCTTTCTAGCCTCTCTCTCTCCAGCCTCTCCCGTTCCATTCGTTCACGATCCAGCCTCTCCCGTTCCAGCTCCTTCTGCCTCTGTTGCTCTTGCAACTGTCTACAAGTGGTGAGAAAAGGAAAGAGACTAAGCTGCAAAGCAAAAATCAAAACCACCAAGCAACTGTTAAAAGGACAAGGAGATAAACTGATCAACAATCCTGGCAGCAGCGAGAACAAAAGCACAGCATTTGTACCTATGTGGAAGTCTCAATTCTAACATGCCACTTTTCTGAGCTGGATAATAATTTAATTATGTTTACAGTAAAAAGAATCACATACCCGATTTCCTCTTAACTAACTGAACATTCTCAGAGACAGACTTCAAGAGGTAAGAATAGAAAGCTGATGCTGCTAATTTGCTAACTGATACAATCTTTCCAGTTTGGGATATGGAGTTACATTTGTTCTTTGCATGGTATTTTATACTCAAAGCAGTGAATAGAAGTACAGTGAAATAGCAGTAACACAAATACTCATTAAAAAAGAAGCACCCCCAAATAAATTATGGTTTTTGGATTAACTAGTCAGGTAGAATTTATCCATATTTTACAGAAGCATCAAAATGCCCACGTGTCAATCCACATTTGCATCTTAACACACACAAACAGCTGAACTGGCAACAACATAAGAACACCCTGAAGGCACAGGAAAAATGGACATGGTCAAAAAAATCCAGGGTGCAGCAGCCAAGGAAACACTGCAGGGAGCTGGCAGGGTTTCCAGCTCATGGGAGGCTTTGCAAAGCAAAGCAGGGAGGGGGAAGACATGAAGAGGAGGAAAACAAGTAAAAGCCAGGCAATGGAAATATCCTAAGGGTAAGAAGAAACCTTGCAGAATTCTCTGCCAAAGTCACTGGGTTGACTGAAAGGACTTTCTGGGAAAAAAAATGCAGTGGGAAAAGATATATACCACCTTTCTGATCCTTTCTTCCCAACTTGTTCTATATTTTATTTAGGGTTTTTTAGGGCTTTTTAAAAGATGTATCTTCACAGTTGGTTAAAATACAGCTTCTTGATTTTCAAAGCTTTTTCATCTCTTGGGGATAACTCAGGGATGAAACAAAAATTAGGCCAATCCTCCTCCCAGCTGTGGCCAGTATGTTCCTGTCAGTACATACCACTGAAAATGTTGCTAGCTCTTGTTCTCTATTTGAATTCTTGTTTCCAAAAACCAAACCAAAACGAAAAAACCATAGCAGTTAGAAAATCTTGTCTACAAAGCACAGAGGCATTTCTTCTGCCATGCTTCAGATGCAAACTGATGACAGATTCTCAACAAACACAAAGCACAGCCAGCTCTTAACTAAAAAGCAGAGAGGAAACCTAAATTCCAACACCTCAAGATACCAGATGTGTGTTTTCTACACTGTGCCACTGGGTAGTTTAATTTGGACAGTCATTGGCAATACTATGTTGTATATTCAGAGTCATAAGGACTGAATTCTGAAAAGGAAGGGAACTTCAGCTGTTTCATTCCTTTTCATGCCCAGAAAATACCAGCATAACTGCAAATTCCAGCCCATGAACTATTGTAATTGAAGTCCATCTGGTTTTCAGACCAAAGCTTTTCCTTTACAAACAAAAAACTAATTGAAATTTCCTAATTTCTATAACCAAATAAGTTCCAGTTACGCACAACAAAAGGACTTTTTTCACTATTTAACTCGCTACCCATCAGAAGCAAAATCCAGTTCTGCTCCTTTACCATTTCTTCCCTCAGCCATAAAACAAAGCTGTAAGAGCAGTCACTATGAAACCAGAGCTGCAACCCACCTTGTTAAATGACTGATTTTTAGCCTCTGAAGTCCACTAAAAAGTCTGATGATTGACCCATACGTGTTTGGAACCAATACAGGAGTTCTATAAATGTTAAGAGAATATAATACAAACCACAGAAATTTAAGCTCCAAGAGGTATTAAAAATATTTTTGACATTACATTTTTACCTGTTCTGTACAAAACTAATTTTACTATGTGCTCTTTTTTCCCCTCTGATAAAACCTATTATTAGAGGAAAACAGGGTTTTCATCAAGGCTAACTTCAGCTTGGTCATGCTAAAGTTATTTTTATTTTTTTTTCTTTCATAAAGGAGAGGTGGATGTACCTGCTTCTATCTAAAAGACTGTTCAGAGCAGAAGACAGCACTGACAGACTCCAAAGCAGCTTTTGTTTATTTTCGTCATTCTTTTGCATTCATTTACCAGAAATGAGCATATTCTACCTAGAAATGTACACTCTGTTCATCCTAAACCTAAAATGTAGATATGGCATTTCAGATCATAAACATTTCATGTTATATTTAGTTTATAATACTGGAAGGTATCAATTCCCTGGGTTTAACAACATATCAGGCAACTGCCAGAAAATTTCTTTTGCTTAAGTTCTTAATTTCTTTTCAGAAATAGAAGCTCAATATAGGTCACTCCTCACACAAGGGCAGCATTGCCAAGGCTGTTTTGCAATAAGCCATACCAAGAGCTCTGCCACTTCATATTTCCATAAGCAACCTGGAAAGGAAACAGTGAGGTGCTCGTCATAAAGCTCCTTAATAATATTTAGTTATTTAGGGTAGCAAGGATGATGGCTGATTATGAAGAATTACTGATGGATCTTCTAATTCCAAATAACATGGGAATAAAACTGGGAAATAAAACTCAACTGAAGTGAAGCAGGGTAGAGAGAGGGAAATACTTGCTAAATTAATTTACAAAGTGCTGGACTTTGGGTTGCCTATGGACCCAGGAGTGAGATATTAGGGTTACAACACGCAGTTCTACAACATCCATTCATTGATGTGTCCTGTTCAAAAACCTCAACCAGATGCTATACATGAAGAAAGGATTATGGAGCAGTACAGAAATAGCATCATCCTACCTCACAATCCCTGCATCCCTGCTCCCACCTCAAAACAGGGAGAACAGCAGAACTGAAAAGACTCAAAGAGCAGCAGAAAAGTGTTACCAAATGTACCCAACACCTTCCATTTAATAGTAATTTAGAAAGCTACAATTCTGAGAAAGACAACTGGAGCTGTATGAAATCCTGAATGATGGGGACGCCCCTTCACAACAGCCAGGAGGAAAGAGTTGATGCAAATAATGAGAGCAAAGCTCAAAAGAAAAGAGCATCCCTGCACATCAGGCAGATGAGCAATAGAACTACTTGCCAGAGTGATTCAAAAAAAGAGCAGGAAAAAGCCCACAGGAAAAAAAACCCAAACCAACAACCATGGGAAAAAATTTAGATAACAGAAATTCCATCATGCAGAAGCTGATGAACCAAGGGATGCCAGAGGATGGGAGAGCAGCAGAGAGAAGCGTTCCAGGTGTTCAGCCTAGCCCAGAAGCGTTTGTGTCATAACAAAATGCATCTAAGTGTATTTCAATTGGCAATGAACACTATCAAATTCTATTGGCTAAATAAGATGCAGATGAAAGACAGTGAAATAAGCATTTATATCCACACCTGAATAACAAAGTACTCATTATTTGGTAAATATTAAGTAATGCAGTGGGGTTTTTTGGGGTTTGTTTGTTTGTTTTGTAAAATAATCCCCATTTTCCATTTCTTCATAAAATAAAAGGAATAAACCCAGGTTTTTTTGCCAGGAACGAAGTTAAGCACTTTGCTTACAATGCAAATGCTCTACCAAGAGAGGGCAGCAAAATACCTTGCAAGCATATCTTACACATACGAGATTAAATATACCATTGCTGAGAATAATTTCTCATTACATGTCATTGAGGCACCCCTTTGTCAACAAAGAAGAAGCCAAAACAACAAGCAAGCAAAAAAAAATCACCAACTAAATTACCCACACCTCACAACTCACTAATTTTCTGCTGTCGTTTTAACAATCTTAATAAACCTTTTGAAAAGCAAACCAAAAGGTGCACAGGTCAGAAGATCAGTATGTCAGTAGTGCAATCAAGTTGCTTTAACACAACCTAATAAGCAAGGAAGAATTCCATAAACTACACACTAGATCTTAGCAAGTGTTAGAGTTGTAGCAAAAAAAGACTAAAACTCCATTTCATTATTAAAAAAAGACTGCATTAAATCCTTCTGGTTTTGTTTAGCTAGCATTAGATAGAAAAAAATTATTTTTAAATTTTGTCAGAGATCAAAATTCTATTAGGCAAAAGCATTAGTAGATTAAAGAGAGTCATCACACATCAATTAAAGTACATCTGAATGTCAAGACTGGTAGTCCAAGAACCCTGTGAAAGCAATACCTGAAAATCCTTCAGTCTTAGAAAGCACATTTGGCCACCAGGACAACTTTTGAAGAAGCTAGAGGTACTCAAAATGCCCCAGAAAGCTGTCTCGTAGTGAACTGCTTGTTATGCAAAGACAACTCTAACTATTTTAGAAGTGTGACTTATTAAATCTAAGAGCTAATTTACATGAAATAGCTGAGCCTGCTGTAAAACTGTACACGTCAGTCACACACAAGGTACTGTTACTCATGTTTAGATTCAGAGTCAACTTCAGAATCTCAGAATAGCTGCTAGCTTTATCACAGTGACTATTCATGACACTTTCTTTGTGGATTTTAATTAGCGTCATGTCAAAAGCACTTTGGGAAACTTCACTTTGGAGTGTTTTGGGGGAGGCTCTTGGTTATTTTTTTGGTGGTGCTGTTTTTAAAATAGTTTACTTTAACATTGAACCAGCTTTTAAAATTATTTCCCCTCTTGCCTTTATACTTTTGTTCAGTTAAGGAGATACTGTGTGAGGATAAAGAAAGAATCATATTTACAATACTAACTTGTGACCTAATATGAGCATTGATCCTGCAGTTCTTTGGGCAACCAAGCAGCAGGAGCATGACTACATTCTTGAAATAACACATGGAGAAAAAAAAATGCAATGAGCAGAATTAAGCACACACTGTTGCATCCCTGCTGAAAAAAAAATCTCCCTACATTCTGTGATGGTGACAGTGTTTAGAATTTCTCCTACATGACAACTGCAAAACAGAATTGCAGTTAATTCACTTACCCAGGTACACACAAAACCTTCCTGGCTTGCTCTTGATCATAAAAAGGAATAACA